AGCTGGGCCAGGTCATAGGGCAATCACAGCCCAGTGGCTTGTCCAGAGGTGCAGTGCGGGGGAGTCATAGGGGGGCACATGCCCCCCTCTCCGGCTCCTCCTGTGTCTGGCCCCATGGGCCCCCCCACCACCTCCCACTGCTCCACCCCACAACACCTCCCAGGAAGGGGGTGGGGGGGAAACTTGCACTTGGCCACCATAGCTGCCACCCTTTGCCTCACACTGCCCCTGCTCGGTGCCCGGCCGCATGAAACCACGCCCCACCCCGCTCCCCCTCCTTGGGTGGAGGCAGTCAGGGGCCAGGGAGTGGGGCAAGTGGTTGGCACGGTGGGGCAGGGTGCTGTACATTGCTGCAGAGCCACGCGTCGCACTGTGCCCGCTCTCCTCCTCTCCCTCACCACCGCCTCCCACTCCTTGATGGACATGGTCTGGGGGTGCGCAGCGCCATGCCTCCTGACAACAGGTGGCAGAGAGGGAAGCAGGTGTGGTGCAGTGTGCCATGCTGTGCGGCAATGCCCTGCAGCAGTGTGCCACGCAGCCACGCCCCGCAGCAGGTAGCATGCTGCACCCCGTGGCAGGGAGTGCCCTGCAGCAGGCAGTGTGCCATGCTGCGCCACACCCCCAGTTGCCTGGTCTGCCTCTGCCTCCACCTGTCTGTCTGTAATGCTCCGGGCCAGCCACTTGCCATCCACCCTGTGGGCAGCGCATGCACAGTTGGCCTGGAGCATTACAGACAGACAGACAGACTAAAGCTTTTATTATATTAGAATTGATGGTAGGAAAGAACATAACTCTGTCAGGAAGTGAACCTGAAATTATTATACCTAGACTGAGAGGAAAGAAACATTTAAAACAGAGAAAGCAGTCTTTCATACAAATCAACTCACAGTCATTTGAGAAAGCAGATAAGACAAGTATACTTAACTGTTAAAAAAATTATAGAGAAGAGAAATATGGAAAGGTGAGAAGGTACTGTTTTTCTGGGACTTGACAGATGGAGACAGATGGAGAGATGATATATTAAAAAAACCTTCCCAAAACAAAACCCAAAAGCAGAGGAACACTTAGCCCAGGCACTGGGAGTTCTGAGAAAAATGGGTTTGCACTAAGTTTTCCAAATTATAGGATGAGAGAGGTAAGGTCAAAGTCATTAGACAAACTGAAGAAACAGAGATAGAATCCAAGGTAGTCTGGAACATTTTCATGGTGCACCAGAAATCAAGGAAGGCAGTACCTAGCTTATGGGTGGTTTCTTCCCAAAATACTTAAGAAAAGAAAATGAATAAGCCAGATATTATAAATAAGGTTTCCTCCCCACAAATGCACTTTTTCTCTGTTATTTCATCTATGTCATTTTTGTAGCAGAAATGTAGTTACTGAGTCTGTTCATAGGGCAAACTTATAAACATTTCTATGCTCATGTAGGCTTATCTCTGGGATATCTTTTTCTCTGTTAGTTATTTATAGAGTGTTTATCGTGATATCTTTCAGTGTATTTATGTTAATGAAAAGACAATTATACCAAAAGCATTTCTTACAAACCAGATGTAATTCAGCCTTAATGTGATAATCCTCTCAGCACTGTTCATTGAGGGGGAGGGGGAATTGGTCAGACTTACTGCGGCGGAGGGCTTGAACATGCATGTCAGGGTATTCGTTTACACCACTTTTCCTCCTCCCTCAGACATCTCAAATTCCTCACAACAACTAACATATTGGGTCCAGGAGGTTATTTTTGCTTCCCACAGTACGTTGACTATTCATTCCTGTCAAAAAAAGCAAGGCAGGGAGGCACCTTATAGACTAACTCATTCAAAGGGGCATGAGATTTTGCAAGTTGCACCCTACTTCTGTTATAGCATCTAACAAAATATGCTATTGCTTATGAAAGCTTTTGCCTTGCTGAATGAATTAGGCAGAAGGGTGAACTTCAGACCGACATGCTACCTCTCTCTATTCCTCTCAAATTTAGGCTTGCTTGTGCTGGAGAAGGCCCTTTGGTTAGAAAGATCTGAGAAATGTATATGTTTAGGTAACAGATCAGTTTGCACTTGTTCCAATAAGGCCTCAGATGCCTACAATTTACACACTGTACCACCAGACTTGAAGGTGCCTGGCCTCTAGCAAGGAATCTGGAACCCAATGTTTGGCACGTGGGCTTCTTATACAATATATGAGGCAAGTTAGGTGCCTTGGAAAGGTAATCCAAAGAGCCCAATAGAATTAGGCAGGCAGGATGTTGTGGTTTTGCATTTACTAATGATTGGATAAATTGGATACCCAGAAGTGGGATAGCTTCTGGCCTGTTGAAGGTAGCAAGAGAGACCAGAATCCAGGCTGTCTCTTTTCCAGGGCAGTGCCTATCTCACTAAAGACACATACTCCTTTTTGCTTATGCTTCTTCTGGTCCCACAACCTTTTCCCCTTTGGCTGCCCAGAATAGAAAGTACTGTGGGCCTGCCTAGCAATTGTAGCACTTTGCTGGGAAGCAGAAGACATTAAAGGCCTTTCTTTAAGGGAGGGCAGGTCCTTCTTTAAGCAGAAGACATTATAGGCCTTTCTTCTCTGGGTCTTGCACTGCCTGGGGAAGTGCCATGCCCACTACACAGACAGGCTGCAATGCAGAAGAGCCTTCCTTGTTGTCTGCTGCCTCCTCTCTCCAGTAGTCACTATTTGTGTTTTTTCTGCTACTAACATTTCAGGGACAAACTGCTCTCCCACTGCAAGGGAACTGGTTTTAGGTCCTAGGGTTCTTTTTAGGCACATAAGTTCTTTTTTGTATTTCTTTCTTTCTTTCTGTGACTCATAAATATAGGCTGTGTTTACAAATTACATGGAGATCATTACTATAAAACTACAGTGCCTCTTCAATTGCCTCCTTTAAAGTACAGAGTTGATAGCAGCAGTTGCTCTGTCTCCTGAAACCACTATGAATACAGTTTTCTGCCTGACTATTAATTTGAGTGCTCATGGAAAATCTCAGGATTACTTGATTTTCTCTCTCTCACATGCGGGCTTGCAGTGACCTTAAAAGCATTAACTTGATGTAAGGTCACACAATTATTTTAGCTGTGGATCAGTTGCTGAAGCAAGTGACAGCTGCTTTAGAGTCATGTAATCGTGCAGGCAGCAAGGCTCAAGTAAGTCTTTCAATTTACAGCTTATATATTAATGGACTTGACCACTCCCACACAAAGAAAAATTCACAGCAGGGACTTGGCATTTTGAGGCATTTCTTCCAAGCCACATAGAAGAACATGTGTTTGCAAAATCAATTAGCCACCCAGCCTAGCTGCTTCCCAAATGTTTTTATTTGTCCACAACAAATCTTGATTAAAACTAAAGCAGCAATACAATCACCTTCAAAATAGTAAAGTAAAAAGATGACATGTGTTTGACTTTGAATATGTTTCTTAAATAGATACACTTACAGTTTATAGGCTGCATTAATCAAACACTAATAACAGAATTATTTTTAGCTATAATTTCTGATGGATAACAATCCAACCTGATTAAAAAGGAAGCCTTCTCTTGATAAAAATTACATGTTTCATAGGGAAAATGGTTGCTTTTGATTTTACAGTGATTCTGATGTCTATATTTGTAATGTCAGAACTATTTATGAATCTAAATAGGACAAACCACGGATGAAATGTTAAGAAAGGAAGAAAAATAATGGAAGATAGGTTCCTGCCATGATAAATAACTGTTGAATTATGCTTATTAAAATTGGCTCTCAAGTGACAAATAATAAATGCATAGTTTTATTATGCATGCTAAATTCAGTATTCAGAAAACTTAAAAGCAGATAGATCAAACTACTGAGATAAAAAAATCACGAAGACAAAATACAGCGACATCAGTAAATGACAGGAAAATAATTCAGGCTTAAAAATGACTTATTTTTTTAGTAACTTGGAACAACAATTTAGAGAATTAAAGGCAAGTCAGAGCCTTTCTGGTGTTTTAGATTTGCAGTGTTTTAGTGTGTATAGTTTGAGGTGGTAGCAGAGGAATTCAGACTCCAAGTACCCTTCCGAAATTCAGAAAAAAACAATTGCTTCATGTGTTTGCTTCTGCTTTCCATTATTTATTAATAGAGAATTCTTGAAAGGAAAAAGCAGATACAGGACAATCCACTTGCTAATCTATTTTATGTTGACCCCTCCCCCCACCAGTCCTTTAGTTTTGGACACAGTAAATCTGCCAGAAGGCCTTGCACAGTTTCTAATTTACTGTATCCCAAGCAATAGCTACACAAAAATTGCACAAACACTGGAAACTGCCAGTTCTGTGTTCTTCACTGTAATCATTACATTGGTTCTTTGGTGTTGCATAGGTTTGTCTTGATGATGGGAAATGGGACTGTTGCTTCAACTGTGCATTTTAACCTTTGCTTCTAAAAGGTGAAGAGCAGGATTTTTTAATCAAGGAGCAGTTTATCTTTAATTATGAAAAACATAATTAGCCATTATCACTTAATTGCAATTGCTGATGGAGAAAGTCATATTTTTGTAAGTAGTGACCCATGCTCTGTTATTGCTCTACTGTTACTGCTTTATAAATCTGTATTTGTGGTTGGCAGCCAGCCAGCAAAAATTAAAAGGTAATCAACATGCTTCTCTGCAGTCCAGCTATCAAAGTCACTGACTCCATAGATGAGTAAATAAAGTCATCCTTTTAGTGTGACATCTTATCAGAAACTTTTCTGGTGGAATAACTGCACCTGCCTTATCTGTTGGCAGAACATTAAATAATACTCTCAATAACTGTATCTAAAAAAAAAACCCTTGCAAAATAGGTTAGAAGAACTGTGCTATACCTCTTCTGGGGTTGAGTTAAAAACAGTTGAATATCTCAAGGCACCACCATGGTAGAATTTTATACCTGCAATAATAATCTAATGCACTATTATACAGTATAGTCAACGAATTAATAAATAGCTTGTGCAATTTTAAGAAGCAATCTATAAAGGAATGTTAGATATATAGTAGGCACATGTACTATAATACAAATAGAAAACAAAACTCCTAGAAAAAGCATGTTGAGCACCTTTGTGATGTATTCTAAACACTATGTAAACCTTATCTTACAAAAGGTAAAACTGAACTCTTACAATAATTGGTTATTTATTCTTACTTTCCTGACCATATGTTCTAAGTCATAGGATTATTCTTAGGGACAGAGGATTCTGGTATTGGTTGTAGTGGGCTGTCTTGTTCACTAAACTGTAAGTTCAGGTTTTCAGAAGTTAGGAGGGAAGAATTAAAGACAATTTCACTTAAGTCTGACTTTATGGATACTAAATGTGGTTCTTCAAAACTTGAAGGTTCCTCCACTAAGACTTGTGTATTTTCTCGTGTCATTACTACATCTGACGGTGACTTCCTTTTCATTCTTGTGTATGATTTGTCCAGATTCTCCATGCCTTGATCAGTTTTCTGAAATCGCCCAAAGAACCAGATGAAGAACCCAAACAAAGCAAAGGCCATCAAACATGGAATAAAGGCCAGGCATTTGACATCAAGACTAGCACCTGTGAATCTGCTATGCAAGAACATGTCTCCATCAGCATAGGTCCTGTTAGTCAAAGGATTAGTATTATTTGATCTCCATTCCCAGGATAACTTAGTTCTGTTAAGATCCTTTAAGCTCTCTGAGTCCTTCACTGTATAGATTTTCTGACCAGGACCGATATATTGACCATATTCATGAGGTTTGTAAAATATTTGATTTTTCCACATATTTAGGTCCAGGATTAAAACGAGAAAGATAATTCCATAGTTAAACCATTTACCTGTATTGAAAAAAGAAAATAATGTCATCTGGTATGTTCTTTTTTAGAAGTACCATAATACATACACTGATACACGAAATGCCACTTTAAGAAAAACAATTCTTTTTTTCAATTAATCATAAAACAAAGTTAGAATGAAATTCTCATCAGAAGCAGATTTTTGATTGAATATTTTCAACTGTTTCATAATCATATCTAGGCACATAATAAATCATTTTGTAATGAAAGCACAGCAGTATATCAATTGAATTCACACTGTAGTCTGTAGGTGACCTGTTGATTAGACGATTAGGTGCTGTGGTGCAGATCAATAAACTTAAAGAGCACTCACTTCAGGACTTTAAAAATAGTGGCATGAAAATACTCCTTGAAAAGGCCACATTTGATAGAACTGTTTACATGCTGGTGATGGTTGATGACACTGAGGAGGTGAGCTGCTTTGAGAGAATGACAATTACATTATTTTAATAGCATGGACCACACTTATTTAATATACTTGCAGTAATGCCCTAACATAGGCAGAAGGGAACAATATGAGAGATGGTAGTTCTGAGACATGGCATCCAAAGTACCACAGCACCAATTGTATGTTATTTGTAAAAATGCCATTACAGTATAATCACACCTTACCTTTTCCATTTTATACATCCTAAGATCTTACCTGGACAAAGGAGAATGTTATCAGAAGACATCATGTTCATATATGAATGAATGAAGCCTTTTTAGGGGTTCTAAGTATAATTACTTACTGCATTTTGTGTTTCTATATATAAGAAATGTTGGGCACATCTACATATAGCCCTATGGCGATGTTACTGCATCATGCTTTAGTATTTCCTTTTAACATACAGTTAGTTTTAGCTGCTACTTCGCCATAGTGGCGTGCTAAAATGGGGGAGTGTGCCGCTACACTGAAGTTGTTCCTGGTCACGTGTAGACTCACGTGATCACTACGTCACCGTAGCGTGTCATACGGCAATGTAGCGTTTTGCTATGGAGATGTAGGGTGATGTGTAGACACGCACATTAAGTAGTTTTCATCTTAGTAGTCAACAATATTGGATTGTGCTGGAATTAAATTATAAGCATAAGTTTAGCGTGTATGTGTGTGTGTTATGTTTATGTTTTAACCTTGGTTGCCATTTTGAATGAGAATGAACATGAGTGCTAATTTTCTTGTGGTATTGCCGCTACTCAAGAAGTGACATGACCTGAAAAGACACAGGTTTCAGTTGCAACTGGATAAGCCCCTAGTAAATTCCATTCTGAAGCTAGTGATATTCTGTTGGTTTTTCACCTGCAGAAAATTCTGTTACTTCAGCTCCTTAGTGATCCCCAAGCAAGAATGCATCAGGGTTTGGGGGGGGGTGTAGAGGTACAGTTGCACTCCTGCCCACCTTTGATTCCTGCTCAACCCAAAATTTAAAATCATCTGTACAGCAAGAACAGTGGCATTTCTGTTTATCCAGTGCGAGAGTTGGGGGGAGGGTCAATTGACTTCATGGATCATTACAATCTAATCTTTCTTCACTTCACAGGTGTTAACAATTTTCTCTCCTTTACAGGAGTCTCGATATTCCGTTAATCAAGCTGTCCTTCTGCAATTTTGCTAATCTGTTAACTATTTCTGGTAATGATTCCACAGCCCCACAAACTGCTTTTAGCTCTAGCTCTGAAAACGTTAACTCAGGTGAACATTAACTCAAATGTTGAAAGAACTGTCAATGAAGGGTTGGATGAACTGTCAAGACACTTAAGAAAGTTGACTTTGTTTTATGAAAATGAGTAAGAGATGCACTTTAGTTCTAATGACTAGAAGACTAATGAAACAATACTTTTTGATTATTTTTATCTAGTTTGCTATCATTTTATATGTAAAATATAATAATGCACATTCTAACAAAGATATATATTTTTGCTTTGATCTTAACCTAAATAATACAGTGCTCCATCCCTAGCATATTAGTAAAGCTCTAGTTTCTTTTTAACTGGAGGAATATATATGTTGTGTTATATGCAATGATGCACCACATCATCTGCACTCCTTTTCAAAATCCTAGATCCACCCATGCCCTGAGACATAAATAATATTAATAAAACTGTCAAATAAACAAGGTACCAAGAAAAGCAAATTCTAGAATCAACGCATAACCCTACAAGCAAGGTTATGAGAAAAGGCTTTGAAGGATACCATGTTTTATTGCATCAAAAATGTCTCTATTCCATGGCAATTACATTGGCATTCCTAAATGCTAAAGTTAGCTATTAATATTTTTATTGCATGGTAATTGTCATCTAAGCTCTGCTCTGTTTTTCACTCACAACTTAAAAGATTCCTGCTGGGTTTTGTCTACAATTTTTCCTTTGGTTTTCATGCAACTCTCACAGTTGGAAATAGGTCACTGGTGGTTATCACACCTCCATCCTACTGCTCTCCTCCCCACCCCCAGTCTCCACACACACTGTGGGTGCATATACATGTGTGTATTTACTGTGCAGTAACTGAAATTACTGCACAGTATGGGCACATGTCTACATGTGCATGCCCATAATGAGTAGTAAATATGGCGACTTATGCTGACTTGAGTTTAAATTTGATATCTGCATCATTCAGGTATCAAATATAAGCCTGATTAGTTACTGAGCAGTAACACATGTGCAGATGCCTTACTGTGCAGTAATACTGTGTGTGTGGACTGACTTGGGACTTACTAAAGCATTAATGCACTTTAATGCCTGCATGTGTAGATGCTGGCCTATTCCTGCTTACTGTGCAGTAATACTGTGTGTGTGGACTGACTTGGGACTTACTAAAGCATTAATGCACTTTAATGCCTGCATGTGTAGATGCTGGCCTATTCCTGCTTACTGCGCAGTAACTTACTGCATAGTAAATTTAGGCTGGCGTAAATGCACATGTAGATCCACCCTATGTGACCAAGTCTCTTTCAGGTGTGAGAAGGTCTAATAACACCTCTTCAGCCTGTCTGGGGGCACTTTCCCCCTGGATGCTTCTTCTATTCACACAGAGAAAACCAGTGTTGTTTGACAGTGCTTTTTGTTTCTGTGGAAACGAGAGGGGCAGCTCTGCAAAGAGACACAGTTGACATTAGAAATCATAGGAAAAAGAAAGATTGTCACTTTTAGAAACATTGTACTGCTTCCTATCAGATAGTCCTGACAGACTGGTGAGTACAAAGTTGTGCTGGGAAACAAAAAGAGGCAACTGAAAATAGAAAAAAAATGGAGAATGCAGTGGGGCCTATACTAAGAAGGCCAGATTATAAAGAAAAAGAGGAAAACATGCTAATTTAGTCGGACCTCCTACATACTAGACCCCAAAATTTAGGCATCAAGCCCATAATTTTTAGGTGATGTAGACTACACTTTCTAGAGATTCATCCAATCATGACTAATGGCATCAGACTAGGGGCCTTGGGCAGGATATAGAAGTTGCAGCATGGAGTGTTACAACACTAAACTTGATTAGGTGTCATAGGGCAAAATCCAGTTTGGTAAACTAGGTAGGACCTACATGGGGTTTGTCTGCACCACTGATGATGTTTGCAGTCAGCAGAGCAAAAGGTAGCATACCTTATTTTAAGTGAAATGTGTCCTTTCAGTTGGTATCAAATGAACACCACTGCCTAGCATCATAGTATGCTGGGGACAGAGACTCTCCATTTAAAATGAGGGGAACTTCTTATTTATTCCCATATTTGAATAAATAGGGATATCTTCTTTCTTGCTTTTCTAGCACTGTATCTACTTTTGTGAGCTAAAGAAAATATTTATGAAACTTTCACTTTTAAAAGGTGTACAAAGGTATATGTACACGCAGAGATGTGTTAGACTGTGCTCTAGGAAATTGGGCTGCAATCTCAGTGACTTTCTGTCTGGTCAGGTCAAGTCACTGGAGTGAAAATTTTGAAAAGCAGCCTCTGAGACATTAGGGGCAACTTTAGTTATGCATGTCCAACTCCTAATATTGGGCCTCAAGTGAGCACAAGGACCCTGCTGTCCCCACTGAGGTCAAATGGAATTGCGAATGCTCAACACGTATCCAAGTCAGGCCCCAGGTAATTAAACATCCAAAGAGGGGGAGCACTTTAGAAAATATGGCCCTTAACCTCTTCAGTGTCAATTATCCTATTTGTAAGTAAGAATAAAATTCTCACTTACATTGATATCTTTGAGTGCTTTATATAGACGGATACACACACACATACACACACACACACACTTTTACAGCTCAACTAAGCAGAAACTCCTCTGAGACTTCGTTCAGAACCTGTGTGCCTGGGTAGTTTTGGTTTCACCTCTAACCTTTCTATTTTTGCCTACAGGCTCCCGCAGGCCTCCCTGTGTAGGCAATGTTTATTCTGGATCTAGCCACGCTTCCTTTGGTTTAGTTCCACAAGCCATCCTTGACAACTGCCACTGACACATTTTTTCCTCTGGCTGGAAGGGCAGATTGCCTAGCCCATTCTGAGACTAGCATTCAATAATGAGTTTTAGCAAACGGAGAAGCCAGTCTCCCACCTGGGCCATAAGAGCTCCAGTTTCAATCCTGTCCACACACGGGAGGATCTTGTGATTATAGATGTCCTGCATGGCACAATCAAGTGTTGGTATTATAAGGTATTTGGCTGGCCTCTAAGTTAATTTTTAACAATGAAAGAATCTGGCATTTCAGTATCAAAATTTACTAAGTATTACAAATTTCCTTCGGTACTGTAGAAACTAGGCTAGGCTGTGTGTGTTTTCATAAACAGCAGCCCAGGAAGGAAAGCACACAAACTGCAGCGAACCATCTGTCAAGGGAAATCCAGATGAGTTAAGCAGATGCAGAAATTCAAGCTATTTCTGATGTTCATAGATAAAAGCAAGTATGAAAACAGGGAGAAAATATTTAACATTGACTAAAGACATGCTAGGACTTCCTAGATACAAAGGAATGTAATACTGGCTTTACAGGATAAAGAAGATATTCTTTTGAT